TAACATTGGCGCGAAAGTCAGATTCTATGCAACAGCGTTCATGGTTAATGATGCTGGCGATTCCGCGATTGGCGTTGGGACGCGTTTGTTTGACATGAACACTTGATCGCTCACGTTCAAGATAGGTTCCTGCCCGAGATATTCAACAAAAATGTGCGATTCTGAAGATTTCTCTGGAGGGACAGCAGTAACTATCGTGTTATCTTTCCTGTCCAATGATGGAGGTCAAGCTTAGAGCGACCAGAGCCAAGCTGGTCAACCTTCCTCTTTACCCTCTCTCGTCATCATAGCATTCTGACCACTGTAACCTCGCATATAGTTTACGTGCCATAAGTGGATCATCCTCCCTGAGAATCATCTCCCCACAACGAAGTCCGTGCCCTGGCTTTACAAATAAGTTTTCTTGGCGGATCCCTTCGTCCTTGTCAATGGCCTCCATCCATCTGTGCTATCATCTGCGGGCTCTGAGCCTAAGCTTGGGTTGAAGGAACGGTCGCAGAATTGCTGTCTTGCTCAGCTACGTTAGCAATGGGAGTGGTAGCTAATGCTTGTACAAAAAGGGGGTATCGTACATACGCTGAGGATCCCCAGCAAAGGGTCGTATTCAGTAGGTGGAGGTCAGAGTCGTTACTGTCCTTGAGAAATGTGTTCTCTGTTGCTAACTTTTTTTTGATTTTTCTCGTCTCACGTACCTTTGCCCCCGCAGTTTTTCCCTTTAGGGGCGAATTTTTGGGAATTGTGACGAAGGGAAGACTTCTTGGAAAAATTCCAGAGAAGTAGTATGATCCTGGAAAATTTAGAAGGACGTAGGTAGGGTGTCGAATGAGGAAGGGAGAGTCGTACCAAAGCAGCACATTCTTAGGGGGGGGGCATGCCTTATATAAGATCTCATTCGAAGTGAGTTCATACGACATAACAGCGAATAGAGGGTGTGATCGGACGAGATTACCGCGTAATGGTGTTTTGATCGATACGGTCGCCATTAATTACCCAACTGATTCGAACAATGTCACTGACTGACGTTCTTTGCCGGTGGGCGGTGTCAACGAGGTGGGTGGGGCCGACGACAGGAACGACGCCCCACGCCGCTCAGATTTGCTCAAGTTGTGCAACCGCTATCACTTCGAAGCAGGCTAATTTTTTGCATGGGAAGAGAGACTTCGCGGCAGAGAGCGGATCAGGTCTTCAGGTGTCAGCAGTGCCCAACATAACCAATTCGCCAAGTGTGAACGCAGCGGACTGGCAGATCCATCCGGTTTGATCTCATCACTTGTCAACTATTTTTTTTTTTCCTAACGCTCTCACTGAATGAAAGGATAACAACTGGCACCTGTCGGTTTCAGATCCCCGACACATACAATCGACTTTCGACCGCCTTTGTCTGCCACAGCCCATTTGGAGTGATCTCGTGAACTGTCGAATGAAACGTCCGGTAGGTTAACTGCGGACACATCATATATCTGAATAGTTCCACTTTTCAAGAGAATTTGCTCAGGTGCCGAACATTTCTCTGCAACCTACACTCGTTCTTCTCGTACACGTACTATCCAAATCGTCAGCGGCGCCATTCAACCAGCTTTCCACATCCAGACTTGTATCGAGTTCCGGAGCTACCAAATCCAACCAGAGGTCTGTAGGTAGGTGAATGAGGTTCGTTCAGTCTCCTGGCAAGAAAAAAAACGTGATAGGGACCACTCGATTCTGCTACGTCATGTCTCATCTGCGCCCTCGCATGTGCAGTCATAGATCCCTACAAGGGATTAGGCGGCGATGGCAGACTTCAGAGCGCAGCCAAGACGGTCTTCTCCACCAATGATGCCATCTTGAGTCAGCAACGATTGGCGGGAAAGGTCGCCCTGGCTGTGTCCTGAGCCACGCCCCTTCACGTCGCCCCTCGCGGCCTATCGATTGCAAAGATCAGGAGTATAATATCAGCCTGGTGTGATGCCGCCTTCGTCTTAACAGCTCAGATCTTCTAACCCGTATTTCTTAATGAACAACCCCTTCCATAAGGAATGGCAGGTACCAGAAAAGACCCGCTATCCATGCCGCACAGGAAGCATTCGATGGGGATTTTGGTCGAGCCTGTACGACCCCCCCCCTTTTTTGGGGGTTCGGTACGACCCCCCCCCTTTTTTGCCGTTCGGTTTTTTTCGCCTTAAATGAAACTATGAAACGCCCACTATGAAATTCTACTTGTATGAAGGTGCCCATACTAAATGGACGACTTGAAGTCATGACATAATAGAACAATACAGAGATGATTGCAAACAAAAAACGGTACAATCGTATTATGAGAAACTCGTATGATGAACTTCTTCGATGGCCGTTTTGAACACAAGATGGAATAATAACAATATATCGCGATTAAATTCAATGAGCATTCGTTAACCTGAGGTGGACTCCCTCTCTGGGAGCGGCCATCAGCGACCACAGTGTTAACAACGTCTATTCCCAAGATTGAGGACGAGGAAAAGAGAAAGTTAGGCTTGTCTCACTACGTAACAGTTATACAAACCGCCGTAAAAATGCATTACCCCGATTATTGGAGTACGGTAGCAGAAGCGCATGTAATTGCAGATGTGACCGCAGATCGTTCGGCAATTTTAGCCATGGAGCGAGAATTTTCAGCAAAGTAGGGTGTCTTTGAAGGACCATAACTTCCTCAAAAGCGGACCTGTGGGGAAGAGGAGACCGTATTCGTGTAGAGGAAGGATTGCACTTCCTAAATGTACTGAAACGTTTATGAAGGTCGCAAAAATCACAGAGAAATCTGCCCATAGGGATTCCATGGGGAGTGAAGGGTTGAAGTTTAAGTTGAACAGGTTTGAATCAATATATTTTTTTGTAACTCAACATTTCACAAATCTGAGAACGGATCCGAGTGTTTGAAGATTTTCTCTTTCTGAAAACCTCTTGAACTGTTTCTGAAGCTCTCGGGATTCATGAGATCTCGCTATGGGGATTTCTTGAGGAACACTCCCAGCTGCGCGAAAAAACCCTGCGGACTCGCCAAATGTAGCGGTGTTCGAATAGGCCAGGAACGCATGTAGAACGTATCCTGTGGTCGGAGCAGCGAGCAGGAATCGTGTATGCCCACACGGGCAGTGCGCCGCGCACTGAGGGCCGCGCAGAGGTGATGGGATGGTGCAACTTGTGCGTAATGTCTGTTCACGCGAGCAAATGTGTCTATAAGGTTCAGGGAGGTCCATGGCGAGCCTGTGCACTTGTTTACAGTGTTTTCCGTTGCGTATGATGGAACATGTCCCTGTCAACGCTGCCAGATTCGTGCTCTGCCAATCGCTGACTCCGATAAAGGAGACCAACTGCTGGAAAACGTCTGATATGAACGATATGGTAGTCCTGTCGCTTGTCGAGAAAAAAACAGGTTGGCTCAGCGCAAGCGGTTGACCGCGGACACGCCATATCATTGGCAGCGAACCAGAGTTTGACTGTTTGTACTGTTTAGTCACCAACGGACCTACGAGATGATGTCGACTTATTAATATTTGCAGTTATTTCGGATGATGAATGAAAAGTTTTGTACTATTTTTTGCATATCCGAGTTCTCTACAGCAAGTTTCGTTGTACAGGACTCAGCACATTGACAATTTGCGCTGCTCGTTACTGGCTGCCGCACTCACTACGACCCCCCCCCTCTCCTGGCGGCCAAATACGACCCCCCTGTTGGGGATTCCCCAACCAACGATGTGCCCTGGAAGCCACATCAGTTTAATGCACCTCAATCGGAGTGAAATATACCCAAGTGGGCACAGTCACCACAAAGCTATTTTTGCTGAATATTGCTGAATTCATCTATAAAAATATACACCCACCTTTATTGAATTTTTTATGTTTGTGCGAAGCTCGTCAGCTTCATACCCTGAATAGTGCTGAGTTGGCCTACCCGTGCGAACTGCTTGGCCGACTTTGGTAGAGACTGCTTTTTGACGATGCTCACAAGAATGGGGAATCTGAACCGACAAGATTTTGAGTGATTCAGAACCATGGATCAACTGACAGGGGGGCGTACGTTTTCCTGTAGGAATTCTCGAAGGGGGGGGGGTCGTATTCCGGTCGCTGGGGATCTAGAACATAATGCAACGTGTCTCGCGTCCAGAGAGAAAGAGAGCTTTTATCCTGCTTTTAAAGTGTATTTTCTCTGCTACCGGTCGAGGAGTTTTTCCTGAGGAACTGCTCATTACTAGGAAATGAAGAGTTGGTAGCAAACTACTCGTGGAAGCAAATTTTCAGTAAATTCTCCTCTTGGAGCGAAAAATCGTTGCACTGGCCTGATTTTGGAAGGTAAAGGGTAAGTAGTGCCTAACTGAAGCACAAGGAGTCTCACCTTTTACTGAATTTGCGTGGTAAGTTTGAAAAGAACGGTGTTGCTTGGACATATCGCAGATGATCGCCGATGTCCTCAAGGAATTCCGTAGAGAGACTAAGACACAAGAATATTTGTCCGAACTTCATACCGGATTCCGGATAGGAGTACGACCCTGTAAATAAAATCACTTTCTGAAGTTCTACTTAGTGTTTCCAGTTCTTTTGTGTAGACAGTACTGGGGCAGTTCAACGACGGAGGACGGGGGGGGGGAGGCATTTCTCACTTCCGCTGCTTCCCATGCACACCGAGCCCTCCAGAGAGCTATTCCATGAGCTTACAAGGGTTGACAGGTTTCACCATGGTGACTCGACGAGCTTGCTTCAGCTTCACAGGAGTTCACAGATTTCACCAGAGTGAGACTTACGAACCAGAATTCGTGCAGCAGCGAATGTGTCCCCTCCCTCCCCCACGCTCACCAAACGCAACCTGCACAGGTGGAATCCATAATGGAGGACGTTGGTAGAACTCTTCTCAGCCCAGTCCTGTAGTATTGATTCCCGCCTAGGCCTGCGGAGCCTGTTCACCTTTCAGCAGTATTTGGCTCCAATTCTATGTGGGGAGGGTGTAGGCGAAACATGGGTTGGCTAATAAATGGATTGAAATGTGGCTTCAAAATGTTTAGCATTCTCTGAAACCAGTGTGGGTTCCTGATCGTTACCCATATCTATTGTAATGGTCAAACACTTCGAAACAACTCTCCGAACCCTCTGAGAACTCGGACGTATGGCGCATTCCAGAGCAGCTACTCCTAGCCGTTGAGTATGGATTCCAAGGATCCCGTTTCTTGTCATGTGTGGGTGAATTAGCCCGCAACGGTAAAGTGGGCCTTTTTTGGGGAAGGGGGGAATAAGGCTGGAGGGTAATGAAAGCTGGATGCTGTTTTCGGACTCCACCCACAGGCAAAGCACGCAGACACGTGAGCGGTTTAATGACACCGGAATAAGACTGCCAACTTTAGGGAACATACCTAACGGTGGAAAGTTGGGCACGCTATGAATCATCCAGAAGCCAGTTTCATCGTCAAATACCACAACGCCTTTACTGTGTCCCCTGTAGGATTTCGCTTTGCCTATTGGGCTGTCGTCATTGTACGCAAACATGAATTGTTTCTGTAATAAAAGAAAATAACTGACTGCGAAATTCCTTGGGTGGCCTCTGTTTCTTTGTATCGGACAATCCACTTCTTTTCGCTCTGAACTGTTCAAATCGCTTCAAGACTATCTCACCTTATTTCGTTTGTAGAACGGTTTGAGTGTTCGCACCAACCGCTGTCTTGCTGGAGGTGATTGGCAATGGTCCAAGAGTCCAGGTACTGCTATAGTCATCAGCGTAGTAGAACTGTGGACTTGATTCAGAGTGTATTGGTGGTTTGTAGACAACAAACCTTCAATGAAAGCGATCAGTCCTCTCTGCCTAACTTTTCAGAGGAGGTATCACAGTTTAGGTATACGTCGGAGGAGGTATCACGGCTGAGGTAATATCAAGGTCACCAACATCTCAGCCGTCCTCTGTCTCCTCGCTAGCTATTTATTTATTTATTTATTTATTTATTTGCCATAATAATATTTACCAATATGTGGCACCTCTCCCCCCAAAAAAAAAATTAATCAATTCCATCTTCTCGTATGCCATCTTTGCCACATTTTGCATTGCAGTTAACAGCCACTTTTTTAAATAACTCATCTCTCCATCGGATTTCGGTCGTCCACTTGTCTCGCAAATATGGGTGCCATTCCGTGAGCAGTTTTGACCACTTGTTTCTACTTGAACGAGCCATTTCCCAGGCGTAACACTTCCTTTCTAAGGCTTTCTCCACCACATCCTTAACTTTCGTCACCCCACGTAACCAGGCATTTGTCTTATGATCCAGAAGACGTACTCCTACCATGCGACGCTCCATCTTTCTTTGTGCACGTATGAGTCTGTCTTTCATTGTTCTTGTTAACACCCATGTTTCGGAGCCATATAGCATAGCAGGCAATACGCACATGTCGAACAGTCGACGTTTCCATTTCATTTCCACGTTTCTCGATGTGAAAAATTCCTTGTATCGTAGAAATCTTCCCCAACCGATGTGAATGCGTCGTATGATCTCTCCGGAAAAATCGTTAGCTATATGTGGAGAGGACGTCATAGAAAAGTCAGCATGATCGAAAAGCATAACAAAAGTTTGAGTAAGAAGAAAAATGGCAGATGGATTTGAAAGGTATTGATCTTGGGCTGAACGTGAAGAAGACTTGCCTGATCTTCTACTCATGATAATTGCAACTGTTAGTTAAAGTTACAGTCTCGCTCCTCAGATCTTCCGCTGATAGTAATGAAACTGTGGTCCACTCTTGTAACGACTTCAACAACAGTGCAGATCGCTGCCGCCACCTTTGAAGAGGTATATATTGCACACCGGCATGGCAAGTCATCCCTCTGCAGTAAGCGGCTTTTAGTCGACCCCGCCACCGAGATTCCAGCTCTCCCCACACAAACTCTGCAACAACTCTGCTCTATCTCTCTAGGCGCCAACACTGGAAAACGAAAAAGATCTTAATGCAATGGGGGACGATGTATGCGAGGCAGAACTTCAATGAAAACCAGCGTGCGCAAAGAATTTCACCAGTCGCAGCTTTTTGGTTTGGATTACAAATAAAATTAAAAAGAAAGGTGTGCATGATTTGGTACAGCTTGAGTGGCGTTCATGTGGTTGCGGCCGCAACCATATGACTCGCAACTCAATGTCGTTCTAATTCGGTTGCGAAGCAACCATAAACGAATTTGAGTGCGTTCAAAGCTCAGCGCGGGAATCTATTCCGCTTTTCTGGACTCAGCCCCGCCACAGTTAGCTCAGTCGTGGTCATGTCTGTGCAGAGTTCCTTTCTACATTCATGGCCATGTAGATCGTGCAGGCCTCCGTCATTTTTATCTGGTTTTTCCTGAACATGGCCAAACATGCCTCTTCCTTGATATAATAGGGAGATGAATAAATAACTCACTGTTGCTCCTTAGTTTCATGTCATAACGTTTGCGCACCGTTGTATTACACGGATATCAGTTAACATTTTGCTTTTCTATATGTTGTTTTGTTGTAAAGCGAGCACAATGGCAATCGTTGACATATTCATATATTTATTAGTCGTTACTCCCCATAGCACAATCTTAGCACGATTTAGTATTTTCTTCTGGTAGACCTACACGCCCGTGGCGGGCCGGCGCGTAAGAGCAGGCGCATAAAACATTCCCCTGAAAATGTGCGAGTTCTCACAATACCTCACGGTTTGCGTGATTATTGAACGCAGCAGATGCGCTTCCTCTTTGTAACTCCCGATCAACAGAAGGAAAAATACCATGCTGTTCCGCGCTAAATGTAGCTTGCAACCTGTACCTTTCACACAACTAGAATGAGCGCTGCTTTTGAGGCTGCTTTTGGCACAGCTCCTCTCCATGCGTATTA